AATAAAAAAATAAAAAATAAAATTCAAAAACGTTTCTTTCAATATCCTCACTCGGATTCTTCAATTGTGCTTCTCAGGGTAATGATATTGTCAACTCTGATTCTGATTAGTATAAAGTGGACAAATATAATAATCATCAATCATGCATCAAGGTGAAGGTACTACTAAGCTAGAGTTTGGTTATTAGCATGCTGCGTCAATCTTGTATATATTAATTTATTTTTTTGCTATATATATATTTATGGGAAAATTGTGTATAATTTTGAAGGATGTAAAGTTGTGTCATTTTAAGAGAGAGAAAGAGATAGATAGAGGAGGAGAGAGAGTTGACAAAAAAAAAATAAAGTTGTGGGTCCCACCTCTTTGTGGGAGTAAAAGAATGTAAGTTGTGTAATTTAAAAGTATAGACATTTTTCCCTATATTTATTAAAGCTATGTGGTGAAGTCCATTTCTTAACGCGTTCGTGTTGGTTTTAGGCAGAAAAGGGTCGGGATTTCCGGTTTGGGGCCAGCACATTTCACTACGACGTCATTCGTGACATTGTTTGGTGCTTAGTTTTTGCCTGCAGCAGTGTGAGTGGTTGTGCTGCATGCAACTGATATTTAACAAAATAGTATTATTATTTTTATAAAAAAATTATCAATATAATATAATTTGAAAACTACGTATTAAAATAGTATTATTTAATACTTTTCTATTCTGTAATAATGATCACGTGTGTCATGTTTGTGAGATTCGCATGATTAAAAGTAATTAAAAATAATCAAATTATGGTACTTTAGTAAATAATTTTTAAATTATATCATATTGATAATTTTATCAACTATATTACTTTGTTCATTCTCCCCCAATTATACTAGCAATGAGAGAAGTCCTTGTCTTCTCTTGGAATTTCCTTATCCACAGAATGTCAGCTATTAATTAAATAATATGTATTTGAAATAAGGGTTCGTTTTTTCTGCGGTTATTGCAAATATGTTATCTACAGTAAGTCCAATATGATGTCATTTTGGGGCAAAAATCATGGTATTTTGTAATTTTAATTTATTTCAGGGTTATTATAGTCTTTATAATTATAATTTTCTAATCTTTCAATCCCAAAACGACGTCGTTTTGAGAGTAAATGCAGATAACTTATCTGCATTAACTGCAGAAATATTTTTCTGTTGAATTAATTTATAGGGGAGAGTTATATTTATACATTTTTTGTTTACAAATCTTACAAATACACTATGTATTTTCAGGAGTATTGTTGCTACTCACGGCAAGTGCACCGATCGTACAAATAATATAATGATTGAATAAGAGATCGTTCTCACAAGGATTATACTCAAGCACTAATTCACTATCGCAAACTTAGTTGGACAATCAAAGTTGTATTTGGAAACAGAATTTGAGTTGAAAAATTAAAATATTAAAACTAATTGATTGCAAGATTTAAAAGCAAGAAAGTAAAGATTTGAATAAACTGATAAAATAAAAACGTAGCTAGGGTTTCGATTTCCTGCAATCTCTGTATTACGTCTGAATTCCTTCCTTACGTTAATCGTCCTTAGTATCAATCTAATCAATTCTTTCGCATGTAATTAGGGCTCATTCCCTTGTTACCCTAAAACCTTTACAATCTTGAAAGAACCCTAGTTCCCCGGTTATTCTCCAAGAATGCAAGCATTGGGTTCAAGAATCTTAAAGATTACGCAAACTCTATGTCTATCCCTAGAATCATAAAGCGTACGATGAAATTATCAGATAAGGATCACACACCAACATTCCTATTGTCATGCATTTACCTACTATCATTATATAAGATTCAAGCCTATATAAAGCATTAAAAACAGATAATTTCATTCATGATATAAAGGAAAATTAACATAGCGAATTGTTCAAAGCATAATAAATCGATTAAATTCCATCTAACCCTAACTACTTAAAGATTTAGCCGGACATAGCAAAATCAAGAAAAAAAAAATAGAAAAGCTCCCCCAAGCTCTATAGATGATTGGTGAATCTTCAATATCTCCAGTGCAGACTTGATTCTGATTCGTCTCCGCCACTCACGAACATGAACCGAGTGTTTCTCCGCCTTCCCTCTGCCTCCAAGTACCCAAGACTCTCTTAGAATATGAAAAACTGATTAATTCTAGCCCCAAATGTGTTTTTGTAAGCCAAAAGTTCATGTCCTAGATGGATACTTCAAATTGGGCCTAGTTGGGTTTCTGGGGCGCTTAAGCTTGGTCATTCGCGCTTAAGCTCCCTAGAACGGTGCCTGCAGGATTCGCGTTGCGCGCTTAAGCGCTCTGGAGGGCGCTTAAGTGCGATCCTCGAGCTGGAATTTTCTTCTTGCATCGCGCTTAAGCCCAAAGTTGGGGGCTTAAGCGCCTTGAGGCAGAGACCATTTGCGTATTTTGCAGGCTTTAGCTTCGACTTGGGGGCTTAAGCCTCCTCTCTAACAACTTGATGATCTTGATTTTCTTTGGATAGATCCTCATATCTTCTAGTTGTGATCTCCATTTATCATATCTTCACAGTTGACTCCATTTATCATCAAATCCCTTCAAATTAGCAAATTTATATAATTTAATTAATAATTCATAAAATTCATGATTATCTTATTCAAACCCTATTTTTTGACTTGTTCAACTAGATAATTCATATTATTTTAGTCTATAAAACAAGATAAACTAAAGGTTTATCAAATAATTCCCAGACTTGAACATTGCTGTCCTCAGCAATTAAACAGAATAAAACTATGGGAAAGGTTGGAGACGGCTAATCAAGCTTAATGAATAACAAACATGAGACTGATCAACAATGAGACCTCAGAGTATTCAGATTTGATAAAAATTAATGACACATCAATCTCAAGCAAACACTCACAACCATGGTTATCAAAATCGCGAGTTAACTCGTAAAATCGTACGATTTTACGAGTTTACTTTGTTTGGCGAGTTAAATCGGTAGTAAAATCGAAATTCTGAGTAAACTCGTTAAAATCGCGATTTTACTGTGCAAAATCGCAAACTCGTACGATTTGGGACGAGTTAGCGATTCATGGGTAGTGATGGCAAAAAAAAAAAATTGGACAAAAAATCGATTGGGCACAACCCAGTTTACTCAATAGCTATTTTCTATCAAAAATAAACCCTAACTTTGAGAATTTGATGAACTTTGTACTCTAAGCACTTAGTCTCTAAATTTTTTGTTATGAGTTTGTGTCTTTTTATTTATAATGTTAGTTGGATATTATTATATTTATTATATATTTTTAAAAGTAAAAACTTATGATTCGTGGCGATTTTACGATTTACGATTTTACTATCCCCTCACGATTTTACGTAAAATCGCAAGTTTGACAACCTTGCTCACAACTCACTAGTCATAGAATCATAACATGAGTTCTCAAAATAAAGAGTAGTACAATTCAATTTCACAACACCCTCTCATTGGGATTTTCATTTATTCACTCACACTCAAGTGTTTGAGGGTATGTGTTTCACTCTTACTTCACTGCATTATCACTACCATAGGCTTGTTTATATTCTCGCTCTCCACAGTCTAATTGGTATACAAGGTCAATCAAGAGGTCTTTGTTAAGGTTGTAACGTGGCTTAGGTAAAAGGAAAGGAATTATCTGGGTAAGTAGCTTAAGATTACTGATCAAAATTCAATTTCAAAGAGGAACTTATATATGACTGTTCAACATACAATAAACAGATTTTCTCATAATTGCTTTCTCTTCTTTTCTTCTCCCACTTATTCATATAACATGAATCCTTTCTTTCTTTTCCTTCTTCCTTTTGTTTCCTTTTTCTGTTTTTGCACAGATACACAGTTCAACCTTTTTCTCTTCATTCCATTTTCCACCACTTTTTGGCTTTTCCTCTTTTCACCTTTTTCTCCCATACACTTAGAGTTTGATTTTCTCTTTTGTTCCAATCATATCCAGTTCCTCATTTAAATTTGAAAATTAATCAGTTCAGGTGAGGATGTGCATGGAGTGGCTATTCATAATAAGTTGTCAATAACTAAATAGGCCTAGGCTCAAGGGGCTTAATCAAAGGATAAATATTAGGGTGGCTATTTGGCTATCTAGCTTTTTAAAAAGAACTGCCTCTATCATTTCAAAAATTATATACCACAGACTATCTCAAGGAGAAACAAAACAAGTTCTAGAGTGATTCATACAGTGAAGTTCACACCATAAAAAATAATTTCTGTTTAGGCTCAATAGCTCACGGCTAAGGGTGTGAGACTCATTTTTCCAACTCTCTATTTGATCACTTTAGTTATTTTTCTCTTATTCCAGGAAATTATTAAGTATGCTTGATTGACGCTCATTTATGTGTGAAAATAAATTTACACCATCATACTCTTAATCTCAGCAATCAATCAATATCCTGTAATTATTCACAATGTATGCAATCAAGTACAATGGAACTTAAAAACAAAGAATTCACCATTTAAAAATTTCACTAACATTTAGTGACTAAAGATGGGTGGGGTATTTAAAAACTAAATTTAAAGTTTAAATTTTTTAAAGTAAACTAATATAATTAAAATCTAATTTAAACTAATACGAATTTAAAATAACATAAATAAAAGGAAGAAGATAATATGAAATATAATAATATTGAGAAATCTCCCCTGAATCATTGCATATGCATGTTGGATAATTTCTGTGTAATCATGAATTCTTTCCTTCCAACCATGTGAGGTTTGTGGTCTGATGAATTGCGTGGTACCCATTCTCAGATTTAAATCTTGTTGTCCTCAGCGATTAGTTTAAATCTAAAAGACTCCAAAGCCAGAAATCAGAAAGATTTGACACTGTATTCTGCACACATGTCAGAGAATGAACTATGTCAGCATGTTATATCCAACAAAAATCATAATCAGGAATAGTCTCAACATACATCTCATACTACCACCAACTAGCATCAACAAAATGTACATCAAAATAAACGAAATAAAATATAAGAGTCTAAAACTGATATGGGGTTCAATCCTCCTTCATATCAGTGGTGGGTGTATCATCCTCCTCTACTGCATCCTGATCATTACCAGTTGTGGCATCTGCAGCAACAACATCATCAACATAATATATATTAGCAGCATCTTGTGTAGTGTCTGCAGTCATATCAGCATCAACATTCGAGTATCTAGCATGTTTGCAAAGTTAGTGCAATTTCCACAAAACAATTCCCAGATTTATATTCAGATGCATCTGAAAACAATAATGAGTATATGGAACTGAAATACTTTAACAGCATGCATAATGTCAATGATGAGCGCGCTTAAGCGCGCTGAGGTAGTGATGAATGGGATAAAATTTTATTTAGCGTGCTTAAGCCCTGTCTTGGGCGCTTAAGCGCGTACTGCGAATGGAACTTTTTAGCTGGGAGCGCGCTTAAGCTTCCTGAATCAAGCTTAAGCGCGGAAAGGCAGTGACAAATGCCCAAACAATTTCAGTCCTGAAATTTCTTTTTCCAAGGTGTTATCATGACAATTTTTTGACACAAAATAAAAATTAATCAAAATTGCATACCTGTGTGCTTTATTCCCATATATACACCTGAAAATCCATCTCAGAAAAGTTGATCATCAGCCTCAATGTTTTTATTTTTGTATTTTTCATACGACTAAAATAAACTATGCTAAGAATAATTAAAATAAGCTAAACTAAAATTAAAATATTAAATACTAAAATGCTGGAAAATAAAAAATATGGTTGGGTTGCCTCCCACAAGCGCTTGTTTTACGTCACGAGCCTGACGTACCTCTTTTACGTTCATGGTGGCTCAAAGCATGGGCTTGGTGATGACCAAGCTCTATCATTTAGAAATGGTGTCCTCCCATAGTACTCTTGTGCATATGAGTGAGATGCAGTAGGCTCAATAGCTTTGAATTTGGTGTTTACGTTCTTTCCCTTGCTCCTGAGCTTCTCCATTTTAACCTTTGGCTTACTTTCTTGAGAAGAATTCTCTTTGTGCTCTTCTTCTCCTTTCTTTTCACTAATATAGTAGACTTGATCTTGCGGTTGAATTATAGGTGAATGGACTTCTATATCAAAGAACTTGAAAATTGCTTGCTCCCCGTCTACCCGTAAGATCAACTCGCCTTTCGGTACATCAATCAGCGCTCCTGAGGTTGCCAAGAAAGGTCTTCCAGGAATAGTAGAATTTTCCTCTATATCAAGGATGACAAAATCAACAGGAATGATGAATTTTTCAACCTTTACCAGTATGTCCTCAATAATGCCATAAGCTTGCTTTGTAGAGCGGTCAGCCAGTTGCACTATTGTCTTGGTTGGCTTTACTTTAGTAATCCCCAGTTTCCTCATCATGGAGAGTGGCATGACATTGATGCTTGCTCCAAGATCACATAACACGTTTTCCACTTTCACATCGCCTTTGTTGCACAGAATGCTGAAGCTTCCTGGATCTTTTAGTTTTGGAGGCAACTTTTTCTGGATAATGGCACTACATTCCTCTGTCAGAGTCACCGTCTCACATTCCTGCAGTTTACGCTTTCTTGATAGTAAATCTTTCATGAACTTCACGTAATTGGGCATGTTCTCCAAGGCTTCAGTAAATGGTATATTGATTTGCAGCTTCTTGAAAATATCAAGGAACCTGGAGTACTGTTGCTTATGAATTTCTTCTCTAAACCTCTGTGGATATGGAATCTTTGCATAAGGTGAGAGCTCCAATGGCTTTTCTTGGCTTTCTTGAGCTTTCTTTTTCTCCCATTTGAACTCTTTCTTCTCAGGAACAGTTTTTTCTGCAGCAGATTCTTTGGCAACTTCCTTTTCTTTTTCCTTATCAATTGCAGGTTTATCATCTTTCTTTTTCTCTACTGAAGGCTTTACCACAGGTTCAATGGCTTTCTCACTCGTAGTAGTAATTGCATTGCAGTGTTCCCTACTTGGATTTGGAATAGTATTTCCTGGGAAAGTTCCTTGAACTCTTTCAGTGAATTGCCTTGACACTTGGCCAATCGGAGTTTCAAGATTCCGGATAGAGACTTCTTGATTCCGGAATGAGGCCCTTGTTTCTTGCATAAAGGCTGAAGTGTCTTCTCTGAAAGCATTGGAACTCTGAATGTAATCTGACGTGGTCTTGGACAGCTGTGCAAAGGCCTTCTCCCACTCTGATGTGTTTCCTTGTTGAGGAGGTTGCTGTTGCACTGGTGGAGGATTTAGCTGATGATTTGAACTGTAACTAAAACCTGGATGTTGATTTTGATTCCTCCACCCCGGATTCTGATTATTTCCATGTTGATTCCTCCCCAGATTATTCTGGTTTCTTTGATCGTACCAGATTCCGTTGACATCCGAAGTTTCGGGTGCCCTGCAGTCTTCAGTAGCATGAGCACCTGCACAAATATCACAAGTTATTTGAATATTATTAACAGAAGAGACTTAAGAACTAGTAAATTGCTTTGTGAGAGCATCCAGTTGTTCTTGTTGTTTCTTGTTAATTTGTAAAATCTGTTCATTCTGAGCTAAGATGGCATCATAGCCATCAAGCTTCATAATCCCCGCTCTTCTCTGTGCTACTGGAGCATTATCGTACTCCTGAGAGGCTAGAGATTCTAGTAATTCCAAAGTTTCCTCCGGAGTTTTTGTTTTTAAGGACCCTCCTAATGCAGCATTCACCAATGTTCTTGTGTTGGGTGTCATCCCTTGGAAGAAAGTTCTCGCTTGCTCCCAGGCTTTAATGCCATATTGGGGACACTTCCTGAGTAGTCCTTTGAATCTTTCCCATATTTCATATAGAGATTCACTTTCTTTTTGTTCAAAAGAAGTGATATCCGCCTTGAGCTTTGCCATTTTCGAAGATGAGAAAAATTTCTCTAAAAATTTTGTTGCCAAGTCGTCCCAGTTGGTGATGCTTCCTTGAGGTAATGACTGCAACCATCCTCTCGCATAATCTTTAAGTGAACAAGGGAACAATCTGAGCAAAATAGCATCCCGAGACACCCCATTCATCTTCAAGGTATCACAGTATAGCAAGAAGTTTTCAAGATGGATGTAAGGGACTTCCGTGCTTCCTCCGGCAAACTGGTCTTTTTGAATCAGTTGCAATAATGCAGGCTTGAGTTCAAAATTATTAGCATCCACGTTTGGTCTAACAATGCTCGCCGTATGAGGAACTCGAGCAGGAGTCATGTATTCTCCTAACGTTCTCGGAGGTGGTGGAGGTACATTGTTGTCTCCCATTGCTTCTTCTTTTGGTTCTGTTGAGCTTGAAGCTTCTTTCTCTTGCTGTCTTCTTTCTTTAGCAAGTTTTATGTTTCTTTTTGCTGTTTTCTTTATCTTCGGGTCGAATTGCAAGGAATCGGTGTCAATGGTACCTCACATAAATCATAAAATAGATTATATAAAATAAAAATAAAATTGAATTTAAATAACAGAAAATAAGGTCCAATCTAAAGAATTAATAGCTACTATTAATGTTGAAATAGTAATCCCCGGCAACGGCGCCAAAAACTTGTTGCTACTCACGGCAAGTGCACCGATCGTACAAGTAATATAATGATTGAATAAGAGATCGTTCCCACGAGGATTATACTCAAGCACTAATTCACTATCGCAAACTTAGTTAGACAATCAAAGTTGTATTTGGAAACAGAATTTGAGTTGAAAAATTAAAATATTGAAACTAATTGATTGCAAGATTTAAAAGCAAGAAAGTAAAGATTTGAATAAACTGATAAAATAAAAACGTAGCTCGGGTTTCGATTTCCTTCAATCTTTTTATTACGTTTGAATTCCTTCCTTACGTTAATCGTCCTTAGTATCAATCTAATCAATTCTTTCGCATGTAATTAGGGCTCAATCCCTTGTTACCCTAAAACCTTTACAATCTTGAAAGAACCCTAGTTCTCCGGTTATTCTCCATGAATGCAAGCATTGAGTTCAAGAATCTTAAAGATTACGCAAACTCTATGTCTATTCCTAGAATCATAAAGCGTACGATGAAATTATCAGATAAGGATCACACACCAACATTCCTATTGTCATGCATTTACCTACGATCATTATATAAGATTCAAGCCTATATAAAGCATTAAAAATAGATAATTTCATTCATGATATAAAGGAAAATTAACATAGCGAATTATTCAAAGCATAATAAATCGATTAAATTCCATCTAACCCTAACTACTTAAAGATTTAGTCGGACATAGCAAAATCAAGAACAAAAGAAAATAGAAAAGCTCCCCCAAACTCCATATATGATTGGTGAATCTTCAATATCTCCAGTGCAGACTTGATTCCGATCCGTCTCCGCCGCTCACGAACATGAACCGAGTGTTTCTCCGCCTTCCCTCTGCCTCCAAGTACCAAGACTCTCTTAGAATATGAAAAACTGATTAATTCTGGCCCCAAATGTGTTTTTGTAAGCCAAGAGTTCGTGCCCTAAATGGATACTTCGAATCGGGCCTAAGTTGGGTTTCTGGGGCGGTTAAGCTTGGTCATTCGCGCTTAAGCCCCCTAGAACGGTGCCTGCAGGATTCGCGTTGCGCGCTTAAGCGCTCTGGAGGGCGCTTAAGCGCGCTCCTCGAGCTGGAATTTTCTTCTTGCATCGCGCTTAAGCCCAAAGTTGGGGGCTTAAGCGCCCTGAGGCAGAGACCATTTGCGTATTTTGGAGGCTTTTAGCTTTGACTTGGGGGTTTAAGCTCCTCTCTATCAACTTGATGATCTTGATTTTCTTTGTATATATCCTTATATCTTCTAGTTGTGATCTCCATCTATCATATCTTCACAGTTGACTCCATTTATCATCAAATCCCTTCAAATTAGCAAATGTATATCATTTAATTAATAATTCATAAAATTCATGATTATCTTATTAAAATCCTAGTTTTTGACTTGTTCAACTAGATAATTCATATTATTTTAGTCTATAAAACAAGATAAACTAAAGGTTTATCAAGTATACTCGGTTAGAAATGTACTCCCGAGAATACATAATATAATTTGTAAGAGTTTGTAAACAAAATATTTGTAAATAATATCTATCCCTAATTTATATATAAAAGTGTTATGAATTTAAAAAAAAAAAAAAATCATGCAAAAGCATGATATTAGCGATTTACGGTGATGTACCTAATTACTTCTTCAGTTCAAAGCAGTAATTTGCTTTATGCCCTCTTTTTTTATATGACTTAATTTGTTTTCTTTTCTACTTCTCGCGTGTACTGATGATTTGATTATTTTTACAATGGGAAATTAAAAAATTGAACATTAATCAATTTAAATTATGCTTTGGTTATTATTTCTTATAAAAAGAATCATTAAGGGAGTAGATTATAAATATTATTAAAACTAAATTTATAATAATGTAGTGTTGTTTTACCTTTTTATTTCACCCGACGCCGAACCAGTACATATCCTTCAAAATTCCAATTTTCCAACCATAACCTAAATATTCTAAAACTTACCAATTATTCCATGGAGATTAATTTATGATCTGGACAAATGTACAGGCCCATTAGAATTAAAGCTCAGAGGGCTTGAAAGATACAATGATCTCATAGCGTAAGATACATGAGCCAAGCATTGCACATGTTATAATATTAAGCTATCTTATATAACTTAAAGGCTAAGGAAAAGCTTTCCAACAAGCTCAGTTCCACCGTGCATAAAAACCATCGCAAGGAAGACAACTTCAGTTTGCCACCACTCTAGGGAGACAGACAAATATATAGACTTGTTCACCAAGAAAATAGCCAGAAAGGCACCAACTGAGATAGAAAAGTAGCAACCCACAACAACCAAGAAGAAGGTTTACCGCCTACCAAAGGCGGCATAAAGTTTTCTATAAATACGAAGGGTGCAAACCCAGGTATGATAATCTGATTCCATTCAATATAACGTAAACCTAGCATTGATACTGACTTGAGCTTCGGAGTGTCTTTGCAGGGACCCCAGTCTCTCTCATTGCGCTAGAATCATTCAACAATCTTCATATATACATAAATCATCTCAAGCCCACAAATTACAACATACAGTCCAAAGTCTTCAACTTTTAACTGTGTATGATTTAGCCCAACCTATATTGAATTGGTCTGATCAATTTATATATGAAGGGCTGAGTCAAAAAAAAGTATGGCATAACGCCAAAATTAACTCAGTCAAAAGTATGACATATATAACGTATATATAGTTGGTGGAAATTTAAGAATAGTTTTATATTTTTTGAACATGCACTGGTCGAAGGAGAAATTTTCAATTCCATCATAAACGTTGTTCAGGTAAATATATTATATGCTTGGCCCGGACAATAATTAGGTTAGATTCATACACCAAAGCATCTTGGACTTTTGCAATCCTATCCAAAGTTACTTAATTTCTGGGTAACATAATATTTAGAAACCTCGTGCTTGTACTCAAATTAGCATACTATATTATGATTGAAGACAGACCTCGTGCAGCACAGGAAGTATCCGTCCCTTTCCTATTTACTTTAGTTAAGTAATCGATCCTTCTTTAAGTCAAAAACTAAACATCAAAACTATATTAACTAGATTAAGTAACTATATTTAAATCGTATATGATTTCAAAATTTTGACCAACCAATTGTCCTCCATTCCTCCCTTCCCGTGTTTCTTGGTTTTGGTTTCGGGGCCACATTTACATTTGGGTAAAAAAAAGGTTTTAAGAATAGAGTAAGTTATTTGATAGAAAATAATATAAATCATTAGAAATGCCCTAATCTAACATCTCTCTTGAGATATATAGTCCCACATTGATTGGATGGACAACTAATATGGCCTTTATAAGGCTTTGGACATTCCCACCTCTTGAGCTAGTTTTTGGGATGGTGTATACCGAGGTTCTTTACATGGTATCAGAGTCTCACCGTCCCTCGCTTTAAAAAAAAGTGGAATTAAAATTAAAAAAAAAAAGCACAAAAAGGTAAACCAAAAATGGGCTTGTGCAATTTTCACGCTTCTAGCCTAAAAAGGCTCTTGCGTGAGGGGGCGTGTTGAGATATATAGTCTCACATTGATTGGATGAACAACTAATATGACCTTGGGCACTCCCACCTCTTGAGCTAGCTTTTGGGGTGGTGTATCCCAAGGTTCTTTACAATCTTAAAGTATCAAAAATTGGACCTATGCAATAATCCACGCTTCAAGCTCAAAAAGCTCTTGTGTGAAGAGATGTGTTAGAAAATAATATAAATTATTAGAAAGGCCCTCACCAATTCAAGTAACAATGAAGAAAAATAATTATAATTCTATATGAAGAATCCAGGTAGAAGAAAAATAAAAGAGGAAAATATAACAAAGAAGAAAGATGCTCAACTGTTTTTGCCAATTTAATTATTTCATTACCGGGAAATTATATTAATAGTTTTCTTTAGAATATTCCCATTTTCTGAAATCACTGAGATCTAAAGACTTTCCTTAATTTAAAGCCACTCAAACCAATTCACGATTAATTCTTCAAACAGATTTGTATCAAGAATATATATTGCCCGTCTCCATGCCGTATAAAGCATGCGCCATGCGTGCGTGCACATATTTTATCAACAACCAAGAAGGGTTAGCTGTCATCTCAAAAGAAAGACTAAATTTTGAACATTACATAGGTGATTACTAAAATATCCTCCTAATTAAAAATTAATCACAATTATGTCTAAATTGAAAGTTAATCTCATAGTTATT